TTTTTTTTTTTTTTTTTTTTTTTTTTTTTTTTTTTTTTTTTTTTTTTTTTTTGGATTATCGAACACCGCCGCGACAAAAAGATGCGAATCCTTATGGCTTGATTTCATAACAGTCGGAAGATTCAAAAAGAGAAGCTGCGTCCTCGTCGAAGCTTCGTCCAAGGTTCGGTTGTGGCTATGATAATGCGCGGATATCGAGGTTGGAACTCCTCCACCGTTCGAGGTCTATAGGAGGCCTTGCGTATAACGGCTCGCGTCCGTTTCCTCGCGCGTCCATAAATCGCCGGTTGGTGGCTATCGGAAAATTCCGATCGTGCGTGGATATACCATATACGCGTGCGAGAGCCGGCCGACCTGTTGTGCGCCACTCGATGCACATTCAACCGCGGCTCGATTTCTACGTTCTAGGGATGTCCACGCGGCAGAATGAAACACGTCGTTTTATATCGAAAGGACAAAGTTTCTTCTCGCTTCACTTCGGGTGGATAAACGATTTCGATGAAATGATTTTTGAAGGAAAAAAATGTTTCGTCATCGAAAAATCTTCGTCATCCTTCCTCTCAAATCGGCAAAGCGTTCGGCGTGTAACGTTTCGTACCAGCGATCATCGCGAATCTCGCAACACCGGAACGAATCCTATACGTCGAGAAGTCGCGTTACGCCACGCGCGTTTCGAGCTAACCTAACTCCATCATCGTCTCAAAATAGCAATTAAAGTCTTTCCACTCTCAAACCAAGTATGCACCATGATAAATCACACGCTTGCGACAATCGAGACCTCCAAATTTGCTACGCTCTTACGAACGGAACGACGAAACCTTGGGTATCTAGAAAACCTTACCTGCCGATCGCCTAAATCGCGAAAAAACGGGCAATTAAGGTTTCTTTTCTAGGTGTTTTCTACGTGTTTCGGTTACTGACTTTCTACCAAGAGTTTATCTCGCAAGAGTGGTGGACGATCGCATTAGCGCGATGCGTGCCTCGCCCGGTCGTCTTTTTTTTCCCTCTCCCCCTCTGAAAAATGGTTTCCAACGATTATAAAGATAGCTTGTCGATGGGGTGTACAGAAGTGACGTCACGCGTGGCACGGGGCGTGGAACGATTCGGTAAAAGGACGAACGATCGTGATACACATATCTCGTATATATATGTACACATATCGAGTGAAATTTGTCTTTGTTCGTAATTGCTTCGATCGAAATTAATATAGGCCTATGCTTCTCGATGGAATTCGCTCTGCCACTTTATTTTATTCCAGGAAAATTTTAATTTTCGTGTAATTCTAATTAAACAAACATTGACTTCCTCCAGTTGGTTGTATATTATGATAAAGGGAAGAGGGAGGGGAAAATATTTGTGCTGGTAGAAGATACGCGTAATTTGTATTAACGATGAGAAGTGTTGGTTTGAAAGCGAAGCTAAAAAATATTCTTTAATAGCTGTTTAAGTGAATGGTGGTTGTTGTAACCGTGTTAGGTAATACAGAAAATATATAATTTGTAGATATTTAATTGAATTATGTATCACTTCTATTAATAATCGGAAAGTCTCGAGTTAGAAACTCGTATTAAAATTTTCTTCAACCGCTTAAGTGAATGTTAATTATTCGTTGTAATTCGCGTTATGTAATCGCGATTTATCGAGATATTATTATAGCTTGCGTTAATAATTCGCGCGTTTCGACGCAACTTGAAATTAAATTAAATTTCCTTATATATATATATATTTTCCTTCTTCACGGAATTGGAACTAAAAAAAAAATAAATAAATAAAAAAAGAATTCGAACGATCAAGTTCGTCAAATTAAACAATTAATCAAGCCAAGATAAATGAAAATTCGTCTCGAAGGAATCAGACAATGCCGTGAGATACTCTTGCGAACCTTCGTGTCCGTTATCCATCCTTATGGCGAAATTAATGAATAAAAAAAAAAAAAAAAAAAAAAAAAAAAAAAAAAAAAAAAAAAAAGAAAAAAAACCAGGCAAATTAATTATACAAAAATAATACCGTAAAACAAAATCTCGATGTGAAACGCGAGACAAAGGTTTCTTATTTAAATATATAACACCTTATTATCTAATTACTCATTTTCGATTTTATCTCACGAAATCTGTTTCCCTCCCCCCCGCTTACGGACGTTTGCATTTGTGAATCTCGGCATCGGAGTCACGCGTTGAATTAACTCCACTCTACAAAATGGTGAAGGAGTCTCTCTCTATTCCCTGGCAAATTAATATTATTATTAGCGTAATTGCTAACCGCACAGACAGACAGACAGACAAACAGACAGACACCTTTGTTGTTCGTCTATAATTAAAGAAAGTTCATCCGGAGAAGACACGCGTCGAGACTTTTCGTTCGATTCGATCCATTTTCTCGACGGATTTCCTCGACGAAAGCACAAAAGATATATATATATATATCATTCATCTGAGAGAAAGTGACGCGAGCTTTTCGGCGTTCGTTCGCTCGAGAACAATCTTTCCTTCTCCCGGCAAATCCTCTTGCCATTTTTTTCCCCACCCCACGGTTTTAGAGAGGAGGAGGAGGATGACGGATAGACGTACCGTTTTGTTGGGAGTCGGTTCGAGTCCACGCTCCCAGAGTTTGATTGTCTTTGATTAATTACTCATGCTGTTTCTCGGCCGGCGGAAGCCGACGGGTAGCAATCTAGATAATGCGTAACTGTATTAACGGTTTCACCGGGATCTTCTTATACGTTTGAAGAGAGAAAACATCAGGCGCTCCCGTCGAAATTTCGCGGGCGAAATATATAACGCGATATCATTTTCACAATATTCGTTGAAAATTCGAGATTTCTTTATTTTACTTTGGCGAACGACACCTGTTAAACTCCACCTTGCACAACTGTCTATTCGATCGACGAACGGAATCGTGGCCGTTCCAACTCGTCCCACGTGTTCGCCCACAGAGCGGTTTAAAAGCTGATAACGGAATCGCGACAACGTTTGCAGCGTTGATCGGAAGTTAAACAAAAAGAGATAGAGAGAGAGAGGGAGAGCACGTGCAGGGTGCACAGTAGCGGCGTGACACGGTGTGTT